ATAATGAAATCTCTTCAATTACATCTCTATTCACAACTTACAATAAAATTAATTCATTAATAAAATTCAATAAAATTTTTTGAGCAACGATTTTAAATGATAATCATTGATTCAAAGTAACAATAATGTTAGTATATCACAAGCAATTTCAATGGCACTCAGTGAAATAGGAAATTATAATAACGATATTTTTGATTCAAACGAATCAATCGAATGAACGGAATCTTGACGATGCGATGAGGTTGATGAGTTGAGGGATTTGGATAGGTGAACAATAGGAACGTAGTGGATCATCAATTGGTGAGTTAATATTCATTGCACGAACAACAGAGGAATTGCCTTCAGAGGTGAAACGGAAAGACACGGCGAAATATGAGTCGACAGAGTTCAGATGCATTTCACTTAAAATGATGTTGCTGTTGATGCAGTTCATGCGACCATGAACGCTCGGTGATTCACCATCGTCTCATGTCAATTAATGATTCGAATGGACACCAATTTGAAAATGATCAAATATGACGACGAAGTGAACACAAACAACTCCCATATACTGTTGATTCGCGATGCATCACTAAGAATTCGAATTTAATTTATCAGTGGGAATAAGATGAGCGTACATTGTCGAAACTGAAATATATCGAATTGTTACACTGCTTCGAAAGGGGGAAAATACAAACGTTTAGAAAAATTGAGAATTGGGAAACGTTTACTACAATCAAACGTTTATATAGTGGGGTGAAATCGAGAGATAACCGAGAGGGTGCTTTGAAACATCCGTCTCATTATCTTATTGCTCTACACAGAAGCTTAGATGTGTAGATAATCACTTCAGTATAGATAATGTACAGATAATGTACAGATAATATAAGTATAGATAATATAATGTACAGATAATCATTTAGATGCACAGATAACTCAATAATAATCACTTCAGCATAAAGATTTCATGTTGAAACAAAATCTGCTCCACTCACCAATCGAGATCGCTCACATTCATTTGAAATGATTATCTTCATTTTGGATGCCGAAAAAAATTTGCTTTGCAAATGACGAAAACTGAACTTGGTTGAAGAAATCAGCCATAACAATTGCTTCTTTCATTTCAACTGCCATCGTTGCCAGCACTGTACCCATCAACAATAATCTACTCAGTCTATCAGCAGCTTCCTCAAAAATCTTCCGTTTTATTCACAAACGTTTCATTCGCTCATTCCATTTTCTTTTGATTCAACAGAGATTTTGTCAGTCTGTTGTTTCAAGGAGGAATATCCTCCTCCTTAAAACTATTTAACATCCACCCTGATTCTTAGGTGACTGTAAATAATACACAAAAGGTCAAAAGGGTTTGCAAAGGAATGTAATGAAGTGAGCACCTCAACACCTTTCCGTTGTGCCATGTACCTGTAAAGGGCATTCGTAATCGAAGAACGACAATCCGAAATCGCTTCTTTGACTATCGGACTCAAATCGTCTGCGTCTGAATTTCGAAACGTAAATCGAACACAACCATTTTGAAAGGAATTGACGAAAGCAAGAGTGATATGTGAGCATATGAATTACAAAATAATGTCATACAGTATGTGAGCATATGTGAGCATGAAAAAATAATAATGCCCTACGTAAGATTTTTTCGATCGATGGTCTCAACGGCGATTCGCAGTTTAATAATGACAGTTGCCAACTGATTGGATGATAAAGATCTCTGATAAAGAGTGCATTTGATTATTTGATGAAATTCATTTTTGAATGAACTATTTATAGAGTTATGAGTGAATAACTAGTTGACGTTTAGATGCAACGGAACGAGAAAGAGCATTGGTGGTGAACCAACCTGGATTGAGGAAGAAAATCGCTTTGAATGCCGAAAATTCACTCACATCCAAATTCAGCTTCCTCATTGGACGCAGCAGTTGATCGAGTATTCGATACTTTCGCTTTTGAAAAAGAAATGGCCTATAGATTAGAAAATTAACACTGATGAAATATAAGTTTGTGTTGTTCTTCAATGAAGTGTAATCCAATCAAGCTTGCACATATACTTCATTTTGCTTATGACCACTCTTTCAGATAGCTGCAAAAATTCTTTGAAAGAATGCGTGAAGCTGACATCTCTATGCTAAGACATCTCTATGCTTATGAGAGTATAAATAATAGCTATAATAAGGTTACCTATGCGGTTCAGGTGTTCTATCATAAAATGCACCATTTGGAAACACAATAGTATCGAGTCCTTGATCTGGTGAATAAAAGCACTGTTGTAATGAAGGAAATGTTATTGCCGAATTGCGTAATAATGCTAACTGAAAATGAATTTATGAATGGTGTTTTATCCTCATCAGGAAAATTTACAGAAAAAACGATGGATGCCTTTCCACAATCAACATTGCACCATCAGATGGTAATTGTTGAAAAATTCATGAAAATTGATTGGTCTGAGGTGAGTCGTCTTTGAATGAGAGTGACACAAATAACATAAATAAGATTCCACGCATGTGGATCCTGATATTGCAAGTTTTCGTGAATTTCTTTTGCTCATCCAACCTTATCGGGTACAGGAAGTGCTTCATAAACTGGAATAGCTTTTGCCCATTCCACCATAACAATCCAGTCTCTTTCATGCCAATATTGATAATCGTAAGATGTCGCTTGTCGAAGGCTGCTGTAACTGTGCCGATGCTGAAATACTTCTTGAAAAATTGCAATTTCGCGTTCAGATGACTGCCTTATCGTTTATAGTTAGTGATGCATGCGTACAGATTGTGTGTACTCTTAGCAATCTATCAAAAATTAGCCATCAAACGACTGAAACATTTTTCTCGCGTCGGAGACGAAGCGGACCACTCATGCTCGCTTTTATCCATTTCACTATGTACTCGTAATATAAGATTTTCAATGTAAATTTAGCAGATGNCAGACAAGAATGAAAATGAACGAAAATATCAGTCCGTCATCGAACTTTCTGGACCTGAGAAGCCAGATTCATTTCCTGAGGCACATGATCCGGAACGCCCTGGGGGGGTACATGATCCGGAAAAAAATTCTTTCCTTTTCGTTCTAGTTAAGGTCAGGAAAATGAACGAGGCCACAAAATCTCAAGCTTGTAGCTGTAATATTCATTAAGTTAGGAAGGTTGGACGTTGGCGCCGGTCTTTTCACACCTATTCGTCATGTAAGGGTCACAACATTAGCGATTCGTTCAATCGAGCCGTCATGATGATGATACTCAAGTGAAGCGAATGCCCAGATTTTGAAAAGTCAACTGCAAGTATTGATGGATGATCGCATAGTAACAAAATACCTCGGTCAATGATTCAATAAAAGCTGAATGTTGAAGAGTGCATGGTGATAAAATTAAGTCGATTAGACTCCTCTCGAAGACCACTTTCGAATTACGTATCGCTGTGCATTTCTTTTCAATTTCACTCAAATCGTCCAACAATCTGTCCTAAAATTTGATATAAGAATCAAAAAATTCCTATTCCTATTCGAAAGAGTATCATGAGGATGTGACACTGAATACCTCGTTAGGTTTTTCGATTGAATTCCCGTTCAAAGGAGAAGAGTATTGTGGATACAAGCTATATTCAGTGGATGCTGGCGAGTTTTTAAAGGGTCGATAACGTCGCGTTCGTTTCGTGTATCCAATAGGATCGCGGTTTTGTTGAATGGCTGCAACTCACATCAAAAATGCATGTTCACTCATAATGTTTACAGTATTCAATTACAGTTATCAATTACATAAACAGGTTTAATGATTGATCCGGTTTGCTCGCACACTACTTTCAGTTATATACCAAACACGGTTCTTGAATGTTTATTACTAATACATCAGTTAATCAATGGACTGATTGTACAACTGACAAAAAGAAAATACGAGTATTATTCATATGAAACGTTGAAGTTTGTATGACGAGTATTCATA